CCAAAGGAAGTGAAACTCAAGTGCAGCCTTGCAGCTCCCAGCTCACCTGCCCTGCTGCAATATAGCTTGTCTCCTCCCGCTCTGATGCATGAGCCCCAGCGTGGTCCTACAACCCTTCAGAGACCCCAGAAATGTATTTCTAATGGCTCATGTCCTGCTCTGTTGGTGCTCTCCCTCTGAGTGGGTGCATGAACTGGAAGGGAAGCACAGAGACAAGCCCTCAGTCATCCATAAGGATCTAGTTCTCAAATGATCACCATTGCCATGTGCTCCTCGGCTCCACAATCACCACCCAGTACCTCACCATCCCCTGCCACACAGCTGGGAAGGGGCCAGACACAAGCCAGCTCTGGGTGCCAAGGAGTCAGCCAATGTCCTCATACTCCTGATAGTCTGAAGGGCTTAAAAAGACTGGTGTTTTTATCCTAATGCCTAAGAAAAACCCCTCTCCTTTTCTAGCCCAACATGAGCACTTGCTTGTAGTATTTGTGACATTGATGCTTTATGCATAACTCTATCTTAAAGACACCACAGTAACAACCTTTGGGAGTGATGCTGCTGAGGCCACCTGATGCTGCACTGCTGACACTCTCCTCTGGCACACTGCTTGGTGCCCAGCCTCCCTGCAGAGCTCTCCCATAACTGGTGGCAGCTCTTGTCACCCTCCTGTCACGAATCAGGTCCACGCTGAAGTGGAAGGACAAGAGACATAAAAAACCTCAGAGCAGCCTTTGACACCAGCCTGATCTAGGAATGAAACACTTGTTTTAGCCTGCAAACATGCAACATCCATCCCAAGCTTTCCTACCCCACTGCGGAAAAGAGGGATGGGAAGGGGGTCCCAGAGCACAAGCAGGCAGGTCCTGACCGCTTTGTGAATAAGGAACACAGAAAACTCAAAGTAAATGCAACATGTTTTATTTGAGGTTGGAATAAATTACAACTGTAAAGCATAATTTATTGCTTTATAAATTGTCTGCTCTTAAAAGGCATTAATATCAAACATAAACAAAACAAAGACATTCAATTTTCAGTTCTCTTAAGTTTCATGAACAGCTCAGTAGGGGGATTTCATTCTATATACAATTGAAATCTCTGATCACAGGCTTGTAAACTTCACTTTGACATGCATTATCATCATTCAGACATATTGAGGGGAATGTAGATGTGTTCATTTGCTTTAAGATATAATTCTTATTGCAATTTTCCCTAAAATATCCCATTGAATACTCAGTCCTTCATTTCTCACTCAACTACAAATCTCACTGATTTCAAAAAACTCTTCTAAGATATGTGGGGTTTTCTACCCCTGCAGAAGGAGGGCTTCCAAGTCTAAAACAGGAATGAGTCTGGTCCCAAAACTAAGTGAAAAACAAACTCCTCCTAGATTAAAATATTGGAATCTCACTCACAAAAAATATGTCCTCCCATTCTTGCAAAAAATCCCCGCGTTATCTGGAAAACTGAGGTGGATAATTCATATTTTTATTGTACACTTACTCCATGCCCGAGACTGAACTTTTCTCAGCACCTGTACTCCTCTAGGACGTAGACCCAGGCAAATCCAGTCTGCCCTGAGTCCTGGGGATGGATGAGAGGGTGCTCAAAAGAGGCTACATGCACGAAACACTCTGCAGTATCCAGCCCTGAATGCAGATGCTGCGACATGATGAGCTGGATCTGGCTAGCTCCAGCTAGACAGGACAGGCAGAAGGAAGCCCAAAAAGGCACTTCCTCAGCCCCCTGGGGAGTCTCAGCTCCTGAACACTAGAAATGGAATGGACGCTGATGAGCAGCTCTCATTGCACCATGGAAAAGGATTGCACCAAGGCGTCCTGCCCTGCTCTGACCCTCTCACACTGCAAGGACCAAGCACTCCCTGTCCCTTGGCTCCACAACAGCATCTCCCTGGGCTATTCCCTGAGCAGGGAGCATGCACCTCTGCTCTGCTTTCCTGGCTGGGTCCAAAGCAGCACAAAATGTGCTGGCTTACACCCTGTATTATGCTAGAGGTAGAACTCTCCAGAAACAGAACCAGAGACTCCTGTCTCAATGAGCCCTTGGAACAACTTGGGAAGCTTGCAGAGAACATCTCCAGGGCAGCTTCTCTTCCAGTCACAGATCTAACCTCAAAAATAATGACCCACTGGTACAGAAAATCCTCCTAAGACTCAAAAAGTTCCTATTTGGAGAAGGGTTTCTTCTCACACCAGCCTCTAGTGTTCTTGTCCCACCTATAAGAACATAAACAGCTGAGTGAGATGCTAGGATAATTTACACCACATTACTGAATGGGAATGGGTAAGTCTATTACTGGATCCAGGAAATGTATATCATACTTGAAGAAAAAACACTATTACATTGATCCTGGTGGGATTTCAGTTTTCACTAAAATTTTGTCAGTAATGTACATACCTTTTGTGTGTTTTATACATGATCTCATTAAGGAAAAAGAACAGCGAGCAAACTTCCCTCTACTAAACATGGTTCCCCCAGGAAACGTGTTTCTGTGTGGCATGGCCAGCTGCCATCTCTGCGAGGTGGTACTGCACATTCCAGGTACTGCACTCACCCATAATAGCTCCCAACAAGCCAAGTGCCATGGCAGAGCTTTGGTGGGAGGCTGGGCCATACCTGGAGCTGTGCTGAACTGGGCCAGTTGTTCAGCACTTGTCAGTGTCCTCCTCACGCAGGGACTGGACAATACAGGTTTACTCCCAGCCACGTGGTAAAGTGCTTAACGGAGGGGTGGGGAACACTGATGCCCTTCCTCCACCTCAGCTCCTGCCTTGGGACATGCCCGTGGAAAGGTGACTTCGTGGGTGCTTTGCACCAGCAGAAGGATCCACTGCAGCTGGGACAAGGGCATGGCTGATTCATCATCATTCTTAACTCAGAAACGTGCAAGCCTTTAAAACCATCAGTCATCTCTCTCATGCTCACCGAGAACAGATTCTTGGCTGACTTCTTTTTTCCTTAGCAGTTCTGAACTTTGCTTTGAAGATGAGAAGGAAGAAACTTAGCCTTCGGGGAGAGGGACAAGCAGAGACACTCACAAATTAAACTGCAGGCACATGTCATCCACCACAGCAGTGACCTCCAGACTGTACTTTAGAACACAACATCTTATTATCTTGAACTTTAATTTCTCATCCCCTTCAAAGGTTACCAAGAGCATTCCTTCCCGTGTCAGTGAGATGTCCCAGGAGACTCTACAGACAAAACTGAGAGTCACCAGGACAAGGAGCAGACTTACTCCATTTTCTGGTGCAAGTGCAGTACCAAGCAGCAAGACGAGCACACAGTGAGAAGGAAGATGGACTAATGGTTAGCGCACTGGGCTGTGATTTCGCAGATGGAGTTAATTCACCTTCCCCTTGTCCATGAAGCAATCAGAAAAAGGGAAGCTTATACTAACTTCAGGTTTCTCAAACATTCCCAGCTCAGCAAATACCACCAAAATAAGTCTCCTCTTTAAACAGTTCTTAACAGCTCACACATTGCCCCTCTCAGGCCAAGCACACCAGACAGGAATCTCCTAAGGAATCACATTTCTAGGAAAAAAAAAGAATCACCAAACTTCAGGATTGCTGCATCTCAGCTAAGGCTCATTTACTCATCTGCAAAGCCTCTTACCCCTCCTGAGCTGTCCATTTGCTGTGTGTGAACTTGCAGTCAGAGAGAGCAGAGCAGGAGCTTTTCAGTCCATTCACATGTTTATTTCTAATTCACTGGCGTTTGCCTCTGGCAAGGCACGCAGGCCAGCATTGTCTTGGGGGGTTCTGTTTAAAGCACCTTCTGACTGAGTGGGACCAGGTTCCTACCAAACCAAAAAGCAGATGGGACAATCAGTGAGTGCATCTGAAAGCACAGTAGTTAACTGGTGTGTTTGCTCATGAGGAGGGCAGTGTTCAGCCACTCCACCAAAATACGGCAGGCATATTAATTAGTGGTTACAAAATGCTCTAACTTTTCACAGACGTTTGCAAGTGCTGAGCATTTGAATTGGCAGGACAGCCATGCCTGAAAATTCAGTGTATTGTTAGAGACTGACATTTTCCTCTCCTACAGTCCTTCCTCTCACAAAGTGTCTCATGGAACAAACAAGTGTCTATATTGTGGTTTCACCAAGGGAGGAACTGGGTCAGAGATGGATGTCAGCTGGATCAGACCCATGGAGCAGATGAACGACTTAGTCAAGCGAAAACTAAGCCATTTGAGGCCAGGCCCAGTGCTCCATCCCCCCTACCAGAGGTTACTAAACACGGATGTCGACATACATAATCCCCCAGAGGAACTGATGTATCATGAAGGGCAAAGAGCCTCTGAAGCTATGCATAATGTCATAAAGTACAGCACAAATATATTACATATTTAGCTCTATCATTCCTTCTCTGTCACGAGGCAGTGGGTTGCTCAGACAGTTGTCTTCTGGTCAGCCTATTATGTTATTTCCTATGGAAATGCAGGTAAAGGTGTGTATACGATTCAGTAGTAGAACAGGAGTTGGGTTTTACATGGGCTGAAAGAATGTTTCTTATACCCAAATGAGATTTTGCATGCATCTGCATACTCACCCAGATGCTGCCTCTGTCGCGCTCCATGCCTGAGTTTCATGCCAGGTTTGCTCTGCGTAGCAGGCATATCATACGCACACAGTGACCCAGTACAAGAGCACATTCTGCACGCCAAATCTCAGGCAAAAATTCACCTACAAAACCTAAGCATGTTGGGAGTTCTTTGCAGTGAATCGGGCTTTCACTAGGAATTAACATAAGCTGCAGTGACTAATCTTACACTCTGTGCACTTGCTTATTTTCTTTTCACAGTTCAACCACTTTCTTCCTTAATACTAAACCACTAAAGCCTTACGTAGCATTCAGAGCATTATTTTCTGCTGGCTGTGTTTCTCTATGCTCTAAGCCTCTATCACGATGCATGCAAAGGATAATGGCTGAAGTTGTAATGCCTTCAACTAAAAAAATACTTTTAAAAAATAAACATAAATTATTTACTCCTCTTTGTCCACTGTTTTAAGCACCGAGTCTTCTCCCAAGATTTTACACAGTTCATTCAGTCTCTGCTGCATTTTAGGAATTCCTGCAAGTTGGGATTCCAGTCTCTGTTTTTCCTCGCTCAGTGTTAAACGGATGGCGGTGTCCAACTGCTCGAAACGCCAGCCACCTTGTCCATCAAACTGCAGCAAGTGACTGTGGTACTTCCTGCAGCAGAAATTAAAACATTGGTAATGGCTCAGTGAACAGATGGTTCATTTTTGCACACAAATTCGGATGCCTGTGTCTTTTTTCAATGGTGCCTCTCAGGAAGCTGAGAGTTGCCCAGTTTTGGATCACTGGGTAAGACTTTTTCAGTGACTCATAATCCCAGAAGACTCTTTCCTAAGAGGTTTGGGTATTTCAAGCTGTCACCAGGACTCCCCTGTGGCTACAGTTGACTCCACCAGACTCCTTTTTCTCCAGGAGCTTAAACTGCAGCAGCAGACAGGGCTCCCTTCTCCCGCAGGAACGCTAGCCCCTAGCCTCAGTTTATTTTATTTACTTCACTTTCTGAGAGACATTTTACCTCCATAGCAGAAAATACATTCAGGCAGGCACAGTGCACCTGATGCTACTGATAACACTCCAATTAGTTCAAATTACATCTCAGTTTGTTCCCCCATATCTCATAAGGCTGGATAAAGAAACCTCCAACTCCTAAAATATGGTTCAGTTTGCAAGGGGGCAAACTAAAAAAGTCTGTGTAGGAGTCAATATCAGGGTGTGTGCACCAAAAATATTCAAAGGTGTACATGTGGAGTTTGTCTAGGCCTGACAAGGCATTTATCAGGAGGTGCAAGAGGAAGAGCAAAGAGTTCCCTCAGTGTAATTTATCACTATAAATTATAGACGATGAGACGCATCATAAAACAGTGATTATAAATCCCATCTAGGGAATGTGACAGTTTAATAAACTCAATAGCTTATGACACAGGACTCAACAGAGATTCAACTCCAGGCTTATATTCGTCACTTCTTGCATATTATTCTTTGTGACACCAAAAGCTTAACCTACCCCTCTAAAGTAGCCAGCATTTTGATTAAAAGAGCAAATATTTCCTGGTATAATCCTGAGGAAAAGAAAACAGCCCATGAACCTGGTTTTTGTCTATGCAGTGCAGTATCTGCAGAAGCATACCTGAGTTAAAGGCATTTAATGCTTACTTCTAAATGCTCAGCACTTCTCCAGAACCCCATAATTCCAGTAATACTGTGGAGGTTACAAGAACAATCCCAAACCTCCCTGAGTAGCACTGGTACTAGGAAACAAGAAATATTGGTAGGAAACTGAACTCAAAAGATCTTTCTCACAAGTTCTTCAGCATAACCTCCCTCTGCGCCATTATTTATAGGTGAGGTGCTCTCAAACACCTGTTTTTTGAGCAGTGGTTTTAAAAATAATGCCAAACTTTAAAAAATTTAAATGCTACTTTTTTTTCTAAGTGTAGTTTAAAAACTAATGTTTTTAAGTGTAATTTTAAAAACAAATGCCTATGACATTTTTTCCTATAAGAATACCTCTTTTTTTCTTAACATTTAGGTCTTGATCCAGCAAAAGCTATTTTCACTGTCACCATCTACACAGAGGAAGGAGGAATGCTGGGGAAAACATTCTTTTTCAGCGAAGCAGACACTGATACAATTTCTCTCCTTTGAGGCAACAGATTATAGTGGATTTTGGTCACCATTTTAAAAAAACCCCAACAATTTGACAGTAGAGATCAAGCAGTTCAGAAGAAATAGTCTCTGCTAAAGTTAACTCACACCTTCTTGATCTCCTTCTGCCCTTTAAACTATTTGGTTGTTTTATGTATTCAATAACTACATTTACTTCGTTTGAGGGACTCGTCGATAGTTAGTACTCCCTCACTAGAATGATGTTTCTCAGAATTCCAGCATTTCTCTAATAGACAATCAGATTTTGAAAGCTCACAAACCCTGCAGATAGAGGACACAACTGAAGTTAAACCACCAAATGTATTATTCCTATGGAAGGAAAAAGAGTGGTTTAACCACTTGCCATGTTTCCCGTTGTTTCCCTGCACTGGTAAACTTCCACAGGACAGCTCACGTATCTTGTCACCTTTATAGAATAATCTGGTGATGTCTGTTGCGGCTGTGGTGTGATGGACTAATTAACTGCTCTTAGATACCTCCACGTTGCTACTAATACTTAATAACTGGAACACATTTTAAAAAAGTAAGAGGGAGGAATAAATACATGCCAAAGAATGAAAAAAAAATCAATGCCAAATGCATTTACATCGCTATTACTGTAGACAAGTTAGCTTAGAAAGAGCAGGAGATATTGATTAACAACTGCCTTTGTACGAAGAGTAAAGGCCACTCCATTACCCATCGGAAAGCTATAAGCAAGGACCATGATTAGTCCCTGAACATACTTACCAAAGAGAAGGTCTGTGTGTAATAGAAAGCAGGGATATCCCAGCAGCTTTTGCAGCTTGGAATATTTTTCCTTCAACATCAATGCTTACAGCACTTGTGCATTCATCCAGTAATGCGTATTTCGGCCTTCCAAAAGCAGATAAAGAACATTACTATGTTTTGGATAGTATTCCCATGTACAATGTTTAGTTGAAAGAACAACAGAAAGGAGAGAGCTATTTTTGCCAGCCAGCTGTCATCTACAGCTGGAAGCTGGCTAGCAACAACACAACGTTTCCATGCACTATCCAGGTGCAAAGACAGCTTCCAGGAAAAAAGGGTTTTATTCCCTGGCCCATCTGAGTACACAGTGATCCAACTTCTGTGCTCTAGTTTGACTTTGTACTATTCTGTCCTGTCATCAAGTCATGCAGCAGCTCAGCCAACTCAGAAACTTCCTATCCACTGCTGTGTATGGATTAGGCTGCCTTTGTGTGCTTGCAGTCTCCAAGACCAAAAAGTTTCGGAGCTGGGCTTTCAAACTCCCATAGCATCTGCAACAGTCCATCAGACTTCTGCAGTATAGTAGGACAGATGCAGGGAATATGTTTGTGCCTGAGATGTTAAAGAAAGGAACATCTGGAAAGTGTATGCTATGTTGCCAAATGCAAAGCTTAAGCAAGAAGCACTGCCCAAACTAAAAGCTTGTATGAATAAACGACAAGGTCTGTGGTCCTGTGCAACCATCTAGCATCCTCAGGTGCTACTTAAAGAACAAACTGAAATGCTTACTTATGATAGAACATCCGAGCCATGCCCATCCTTTGTTTTTCTCCTCCTGATAAAACATCTTTCCAATCCATGACAGCATCCCAGCCTTTAAAAAAAAAGAAGCAAACAAGACCCATCAGGACAACGTAAGGTTATGAAGAAAACGCAGCTTCACTTGCAACATCCCTGCAACCAAAATCATAAAGGGCATTTCCTTTGCAGAAGAGACAATTCAGGGTTCTGAATTGCATCTTTTGAAATACCTCTGTGCCTTTCCACTGGCACTCAACTGGAAAAATGTCCCAGATATCATGACGGTTTTGAAAGTGGAATTTAACCTTCTTGGTCATTTAGGAATTGTCAAAAAACTTTATTTACCATCTCCTTGGAGAAACATCTTTTACCTGTGTATAATTAACCACTTCATTCTGTCATGTTTGTTTTATCGAGCAATTTTCAATTCCGTCTTGAAAGGTGTGAGTGAAAATTATAAACAAATTCAGAGAAATAAAGTGTAAAAACCCATAACGAGCACTGCCAGACTCCACTCACTACTGCAGGCAAAGAGTTAACTGTCATCAAACTCAGCAGAACACAGGGATCATTCTGTGTGCACGGACAAGCAGCTAACATACAAAACTGAATACAGACAGGAGGATTTTCTTACAAACTTCCCACTACCATGTATTTAGAAATGACCCACAACTGTTGGAACCCTGGATATCCTTATTTAACATTCTGCACGGAATCTAACTGATGTTTTTCTGGATCACTTTCAGATACACGCAAGAGAAGCGTGTTGCATTCTATCTGTGATCTCACAGTGGACTGGTATTCCTGTGAGTACTCTGGTATGATTCATGCCCACTAATGAAAAACTTCAAATACCAAATTACCCTGCTGAAAATTAGTTGTCAATCTAACAATCCAGATGGATAGAGTAGCAAAATGCATTTTGAAAAGGGAGAGTGTAGATGCAGAGAAAATCTGGTAAGACATTTTTCTAATAGATCATCTACTCATCATGCACCTGGATCAGGGATAAGCAAGGAAAAAACCATTTTCCAAATCAGCCCAGAAGCACTGTAACTAAAAAATGAACACCACAACCAAAAGCTCTGCTGAAAAAACACAACCAAAAGCCCAATTGAAAATGGACATTTGTCAGAAAAAACCTATAAGCAAGGTAAAGCAAGGAGGGTGAGCTGTGTCATTTCTGATACCTGAACAAAGGCGAGACAAGGGGGGGCTTGAGAGGGTGCAGGGGCTTGGGGAGTGCTCTGCCCATGCTTGGTGCTACACCAGGGCTTGGTAGGTCTGAACAAAACCTCTGTGAAGCATCCAGTGAGAGGCTGTGTGACTGAAAATAGGAACTGATAATGCTAAACACTGAATTCCAAGGGTTTTCTCTATGTAAAACTGAAAATTACAATGTCATAACTTTTTAATATATGTGTATATAGTAGGATTTAAAAAACACGCACGCACACTCCAGAAATACATCACCTTTAGTGATCCTATTGTTTTTGCTTAGTTTCTTTCCATTCTTGTTTAAGGATCCCAGTGGGCACCCCCCTTAGAAGCACATGCAGTGCTTTCTATCAGGAGGCTCCTAGCAAAGATGGAGTTGTGTAATGATTAACTGAATCCCCAGTTGGATGAACTCTGGTAAAGGGAACACATGAAGAAGCTGCTGCTGAGCAGTCCTGGTGCTGGGACCACACAGTGAGCTGGAGTGCTGTTCCACTGACACCTTCAGCTTCCAAAAAGACTGTAAAACACCTGGAGCACCCCTTTTTGGCAAAAGATTCTAAGGGCAAGGGATGGGAATGGTCCTTCAAGAAAGCCATAGAAACAACTATGCTTCTGAAGACAACTTTCAGGCTACTGCTTATATTCTGTTATTTTTAAGCTGAGAATATAGATGGGATCTGGATCTGAGCTAGGGTGTGGGTTGGTGTGCGTGTGAGCACATGTGCCTGGGAAACAGTGCTGGCATTCATAGTTTCTTCCAGATCAGCTAGTTTAAAACACAAAAAGGGAATGAAGTTCAAGAAGAAGCACCATCTTGTCAGCAACATCATTCTATTACTTCCCTAAAGGTGTAAGATTTAGCCTCCATTTGCCAGAATACAATAATCATCTCTGTGGTCACTCCACCTTACATTCTAACTGAGTATTAGCAGTGAGTCTTGTCTCCTCCTGCCTAGCTCCCTCCTTTAATTTTCCTATTTGTCACTTGGAATGTCTCAAATAAGAGATAAGGAAGAATCCATTTTAATATTATCCCTTTTAAAACTATTTTCTAATGTCTGGACAATTTCCTCAGAACACTTAGGCACTGTAACTCACAATAAACTGACTCCTTACTGTGCATTAACAATAATGCACCTACTTACTTCCCTTTTCTTCCTGTTGACATGGCATATGTCAGTGAAGGTCACCAGTTATAAAAATAGCATCCAAGTCAGTGGCTTATGTCACCCATAGCTACATGCACTTCACAGATCAAGAATTGAAATAGCTTGCCCATGAATGCAGAACAAATGAAATGGCTTGTGAATGAACACAGCACTAAATTCTCAGTAGGTACAAACATAATCTTGGCTTTTAGAGTCCAAATTCCTTGTCCAGCTTCTTGTTACACGTAGGCTTTGATTGCACATGGCATGATGTAGATGTGACAAACACTGATGTCATAGAAATGCCTTTTGCAACCAATAGGACAAAGAGCATGTGCAATGTGCTGGGACAGAGCAACAGCAGTAGAAATACATACAGCTGTCAGCAGAAATTAGTGATAGCTTCATGACAGCAGCATTTCATTTTCTTGCATGGCTTCTTTTACAGTTCCTTTTACCTCCATTTTCTGAAGGGAAAAGCAAGCTAAATTTGACAACAGAATAAAAAGGGCTACATCTGGGGTCTGTGGCACAGTGTATCCTTTATCCTTGTAAATCCTCACACTTAATATGCAAGACAGAGTGTTCAGCTGCCAAAAAAAAAGATAGATAAAAGTTCTTCTTCCAGATCTACATTCAAATATACCTCATAAGACATGGGCTGGAGTCTTACAGCTTCATGACAGAAGAAAGGCTACCGCAGCAAACTATAGCCAGAGAGCCCACCCCTGGTGAGTTTCTGAGCATGGAGGCCTCTCGCACAGCCTATGTCCCCAGGCAGCTGTCAAAATGGAAGAGAGCAGAGCCCGGGAGCTGTGCAGGACAATCCTTAACTGAGGAAGGAACAAAGAGAGATCATCAGTTGCATGAGCCTCAGCTCAGCATGACACTGCAGGGATTGTGTCTCCGGATTTCAGAGCCACTGGAAAAGCCAGCAGAGCATTCCAGAGTTCCTGCTGGTGCCAGTAACAAAAGCAAATCCAGATTAGATGAAAAAATCTCGGAGAGAGGAAATGTGCTTGTCTGTGTGTTTATATGTGGCCTAGCACAAAGGTTCCCTGGACAAGACCCAAAGATATGACAACTGTGCAAAATAATGAGGAATAATTGTAATCTGGGGTGCTGAGAAACCATAAACAGGTTGAACTTGCTCAGTAATGTCATCAGCCCCAACCTGGCAGGTCTGGTCATGCACTGAGCGTGCTGCTACATGTACTTATGGCTCCTCTCATGTGACAGACTATCAGCAGCCTAAGGCTGACACTTGTTACATAAATATACACAGATTTTCAAAGCAGGTCAAAAAGGAACCCCTTAATGTAGATCTACTGCATATCTCCATGCCACTACCCACAATTTCTGGACATGCCTTTTCATCACCCATGCTGAAGACAACCTTCTTTGCTATCCTTATTTTGTATGAGATTATTTTTCTGGTAGAGCTAGCAACTTTGCAGGTGTTGATGGGGGCACCTGATTGATGATATAAAGGTAAGTAACAAACTTCATTCTTGTAATATCCAGCAGGTGAGAAAAACACTGGTGTGGGCCTCAGTGGGAAGGAAATTCTGTCCCCAACAGCAAGGAGGGCTACTATCAATAGCAACTGTGCTGGGTTCTTCTAGGGCTTGGGCTCAGGTACATCTGGAATGGTGGTGCTGGGGAGGGGGATAGTTGTTTTGGTGGTTTTGATGTATTCTGTTGCTACCAACTGAAAAGAAGTTTCATAAAGGTAACACCAAAGCTAAAAGCCAAACTGGGCTAATTATTCTTCTAACCATTCTATTTACTTCTAATTGGGTCATCAAACATTAATGCTAGAAAAAGAGAGGAATTTCTGCCATTGGCAGCAACAAGAACATCAGTCTCCTGCTGGCTACTTAACACTTGGAATCTGGTGACCCTTGTACTGATGCAATGTGGAAGTAATTCAGCCAAAGACAATAAAGTTACACCAGGACAGATAAATTGAGTCAGAGTTGCGCACTTCTGGCCCCATCTGGCTTTGTCATGACTGCCCACAGGGAGCAGAACACAAAACTGCAAACTATCGTATTATACACACATGACATTCATGGGCAATTAAAGCACAACAGGGTCATGTCCTAAGAAGCCTGCTGTCTGGTAAAGGCTTAATACTGCGGGGGATAGGTGAAAGGGGATGAGACAGAAGTAAGCCTCTGAAGGAGAAGAGACAAAAATACTGAAGAATTATATTAGATTTCTATAACATAATGACTGACAGATAGTTAGCTCCATTCTTAGGATGGTTTCTGGCATCAGTTCAGAATAGTGTGGACTATATCCACAATAATCTGAATAACTAAAAATGGTTTCACTGATTTTTTTTTTTTTAGACGTATTAAATTGTCAGAAGGTGTATCCGGTATATAATAGAAACTGGCTGGGAATTATTCAGCAAAACTTCTTTTCTATTGGAAAATGCCAATGTTTGTCAATCATCAAAGCAGTTTGCAGATGGTTTGGGGCAAGCCCCTTGTTCTGTGAGCTTTATATGGAATCTTTCAGTATTTTGCAAAGAAAAAAATCCATGTTTAATAGAAATAATTTTATCTCAAAAATCTGATTTTATGAATAAAACAAAATTTCAAATTAAAAAAATAATTCAGCTACCTATAAACAAACTTTTCAATTGTTCACTCTCAACAAGTATTTCACTGGCTTGCTGGTTCAAAAAAAACCAGAATATGTTCTTTGTCCCAGACTGGGGGAGCTCTAAAGAATATGTAAGCATATGAAATCCATGTAATGTGCCCAATCATATGTCACGGATTTCCTCTCTGTTCCTACCTGAGTGCTTGCCTCCTGCAAATGCCCAAAGAGAAAAGGGAAGAAGCAAGTGTATTATAGACCTAAAAACTCCCTGGTATGTGGTAATCTCTCCCCTGTTTTCCAGCTTTGCCCACTTCTGTCATTTTAGATCACCAGGTACCCAAGACCCTTTTTTGGTAACATTTGTGCAGACTTTTGCAGTGTGCCTTTATCCTGACTGGAGCGTCAATAGAGTGCCAGTGAACACTACCAGTCTTTTATAGATCGTGTGTGTCTCACATATGCAGTCAGACAGGCAGAAGAGCAAGAATGGGGTCAGCAATAAACACTTTCTTTGTCTCAGAAAGTAGAGTGAGACTGATCCAAACCTGGGGTTTCAGTTTGGCAATACTGAACACTGACCTCAGACAACGGTACCTCGTGTGTGGAGCACAGTAACTGCCCCATCACCAGTTATGTGCTCCAGCTGCAAGGTTAGAAACCACAACTATGCACATTCAGAGACTGCTGGGGATATGGTTTTGGCCGCTGAGGGTCATGTGTTAATCAGTTCATCTACAAGTACCAGCACGCTATGAATGCACACTTCACAGTGGCTTCTTGCCACAGACAATTTAACTGCTCCTCCTTTTCCAGCTCCCCATACTAACACATCTGCTTGTTCTTCTGCAATCTGCAAAGTGACTCAGGAATACTAGCAGGAATAGGTACAATGTCAGTGTAGGAGTAGAGGCCTTCTCTGCAATTATTCCGGTCACTGAGTTTAGCTCTCTGCCCACTTTTTCAATCCTTGTGTCATAGTATCAGATCTGAATAATTATCTGAATCAGAATAATGGCAGATACTTATTTTCTCTTGGAATTTGAGGGCTAACAGTCATTATTCTTAACAAAGAAGCTTTAGCCCGTGGAATCAACAGGACTGTGGTGGAGAACTATCTGTTAGGTATACAATTGCTGCTGTAAAGGATTACTATTCCCCACTCTAAAATGTGCAGAAAAGACATCAGATGAGTGTCCATGCACACTTAAAAAAATCAACAAAGCAACAGGCTGCCATCCAGGAATGGGCTAACGCCCTACTTTTTGCTGACAGCATGATCCTGAGAGACACCAAGCACACACATTACAAGGCAATGCACCTGAAATACCCTCTCCACAAGGAGCACTGACAACTGACAGAGAGATTCAGGGTACAAGCTCCCTGTTACTAACTTTGTCCTATGTCTGTTTTAAAAGCATAATGGTGGGGAGGAAATTCAAACTAGAGATTAGCGGCTGGTGGGAACAAAAGGATGAAAATTATTGCTTTGCTTGGGGGAAAAAAAAAAAAGCCACGACATGCCCTAATTCCTTAGACACAAAAGAAGCCTTTAGCTTCTTGACATTTACTGTGCTGATGTATTTACACTATCCCCTACTCTTAGGACAAACAACGCTGAGAACACATGGCAACTTAAACAGTAAGTGGTAGCTGGCAACAATCTACTGCCAGCCATTGTCCTCTGGTTATTTTTGACTTGTTCACCC